CAGATTAGCTCAGCTCAGCTCAGGTCGGAGCGCAGAGTCTGTCACAGATTTATTCAATTACACACAAAGCATAGATAACTTACGATAACTGTAAAAGCAGCCCGAGAACGGGTGGGGGCACACGACACACGCACACACACACTCGCACACACATACACTAGCATAAACAAAACAACAACAAACAAACACACTCATACAACAGACAACCACAACAACAACAACAACAACGAGAGACACTCGTCAGACTTTGAAAGGTTCAATAGAATAGAGGGCACAGACCCATTATGATGCCATATTGTGGCCAGCATCCGCCCGGGACTTACATTTACATAATGTGCCCCATTGTCGAAAAGTGAAAATATGTCTATATGTCTATTTGAACTTTCGTTTGTAGTTGTCATCATCATCGTTGTCGTTGTCGTTGTCGGCGTCGTCATCCGATTGAAACAATCTTCCAAATTGCTAAGGCAAGCAGCGTCGCAGCTATTGACACCTTTTGGCCCGTAGAACTGACCAAATAGTCCGTAACCAAAGTCCATATGATATATATGTCACGCCAAATACTTCCGCATTTCACCTATAAAAAGATGCAATAATTAGAAACCCCCACCCAAGACATACAATCCGAAAGTAACAAGGTCTCTTAGAAAGAAACAACCAGAAATGGCTTCAAATGCAATCGTTAAGAATTTCGAGTTCAGTCAACGAATATTTTATGCTCTGTTTAGTACATGGAAAAGAAACTCGATAAAATAGAAAGAAACGTTTTATTCAATCTAAATTTTTATATTTATAGTAAAATAGAATTTTTTGAATAATTTTTTCCCTTGAAATATTTTACCTTCAACTTTATTCATTTAAATAATATTTGTATTTAAAGTCTTTAACACTAATGGGGTTTTCTTTGAAAATTACAAACTCCATAACAGACTAGAGAAAATGGTAAAAAGCTTTAATTAGTTTAATGAACTTATTTTCCCCTTTCAATTTAATAGATTTTTTTGTTGTTGTTGCATATTTTATCATGCTTCTGATTATCTCTTAAAATGATTACATATTTTAAAGCCATAAGAAATATCTATAGTTAAAAAAGAAAATTAACAGCCCTGAAATATTGCATATACACTAACTTTTTTCATTACAAAATTGCAAATTCAGTTTCAGCTGTCAACTTCAGTGAATCGATTAAGTTTTGACTTGGACTTTTACCTCAAAATTTATTTGCTAGTTTTAGGGCCTGTTTAGCCAACCGCTATTAATTAAGTTAAGCTACTGCTTAACAAGTCTAAACGAATGCACTGACTGCATCGATTGCATTTTCAAGTGGCAAAAAACTAGTTTTTGGCATGCAAATCATTTAAATGCATTATTTATTGACTTCTGAATAATAATCATAAATATATATCCTAACTCTGACAATCTCTTGTTCCTTGACACCAGTTAAATTACATTTAATTATTTTAATTTGTATAAATTTCTAAACAACTTTTCGATAACAGCGAATGCTTCTAGTTATATGTATACAAAATATGCAAAAAAAAAAAAAAAAAAAAAAAAATGTTTGCTTCAATTACATATAGATCTCTTGCATTTAATTGGCTGACTTTCAACTGATATGTTAATATATTTAAGTGGATCACTAATTAATGGGGAAAGAGTATCTCAGGGCCTAACACGCGGCTACAGAGCTGTTGATCAAACGGCTATTGTCCGGTTTTTGCCAAGGGTATTGGCCTAAAATGTAGCCAAGTAATGGACAGACAAAGACCTGCTTGGGTTTTATGAAAGACCAGGGCCAGTTGTTGTTGTTGTTGTTGCTGTTGTCGCCGTTGTCGATGTCGATGACGCTGACGATGATGATATGCGGCACGATTATAGGAAATGGGTCATACAATACACAGGCATAACAGTGTAACTACCTTGTCAAGGCAGGTTGAATGTTTACCGTTTAACGCGCGCACACACACATACCTACACACATACACATACACTGTTATACGAAATACTGCAGCTACAGATTGGTCTTCATGTTTGGTTAACACGCGCAGAGGCGTGGCTCGATTTTGTGGCGGTGCAGTGGTGCGGCGGCTCATGTTGGCTCCGTCAGTGCTTAGGCGCGCGAATTTTAAAGTCACTCCAAAAAGAGAGGAGCCACAGAGCGAAAGAGAGCGAGCGAGTGTGAGAGCGAGAGGGCGAGCGGCAAATCATGCGATGAAAAAGTTGATTTTCAAGAAATTTCACTTTAGAATTTGAGGCGGAAGAAGTTGTGTGTGTTGTGCTTTGGGGCTGACCGAAATTGGTAAAACTGGATTCCCTGGGAAGGTCCATTGATAAATTTACAGTTACGTGATGAGAGCCACTCGGCATCAGTCAGTGGTGTTTAAACTTTAATTATGCGGCAGCCAGCGAGCTGTCTCTGTAGTGGTGGTCGATGGGCCCTCGAAACAGCGGATATGATTCGATAATATCATGAAAGAGCTGTGCCAATTTAACACATTTCTTAACTCGACAACAACAAAAACAACAACAACGACAACAACAATAATAAAAAAATAAACGCTGCGTCAGTGAAAGAAATATAAAATACAAATGACCAAAGAGCAGAAGAAGAAGAAAAAAAAAAAACTAAAAGTCAACAACAGAAAAAATTCAAGTCTCTCTCTCCCTCTCTCTCACGCTGTCTCTCTCACGCTGTCTCTCTCGCTCCTTCGCTCTGGCTCTTTTGACTCTCTGGAAATAGATTTTWTTTTTTTTTTTTTTTTTTTTGCTGTACCTCTAATGAAAACGAAAGTTTGGCTAACCAAAAGAAAAAAAATAAAAAATTACCAAATTTAAATACGTTGGAAAAAAAATCAAAATAAAATACAACAACATATTGCGGAATTTAGATATTTAAAAGTGAAAGCCATGGGCTGGCCCTCCGCTTTGGACTTGAATTTGAGACGCATTTCAGTCAAATATGTCCGCATTTCAAAGAGATGTTCCATATATACATAGCCACAGAGACGGACAGACGGACAGATAGGCAGACAGAAAAAGCATGCGACGCAACGTGTCGCATCAACAGTTCCTGTCCACCACGTTCAATATTTGAACAGCGTTTAATTTGAGTTTCATTGTTGTTACCTGCTGGTAATTAGCTAAAACATTAACAACGGCAATAATTTCCCCGTTTGGCTATGAGGTGCAAAGTGTTCAGTATGGGAAAAGGGAAAGGGCAGGGGAGGGGGCGGAAGTCGCGAGATGCTGTTTACATGTGTGAGACAACTTGAACTTTGATCGACATAGGTAGATGCCGCCGCTGATTTTAAAGCTAGGTGTGTTTCCTGGCCAGAAGGGTTACGGAATTGTCTAGTCCATACTCTCACATACACACACACACACACATACATACAGCCGCAGCTCTAGCGAAATGGTAATTTCTGTTTGAGCTTAACAAAACAACAATCACTTAGCAAGATTTGCATTTCTTGTCGTCATTTTGTTGACAGATTCATTCAATATTTTACAACTAAAACTTTTTAAGGAGAATGACGTGTGCTTGATTTATAGCTCTCACTGTTAGTTCTTTCCGCCTGGCCTATGCGTTTTCCATGTGATTCTAAATACATATTAATGTGTAATTAGAGCTTTGAGGTCTGCAGCTGCATCAGTATAGGTGAGCTTCGGCAAGCTCAGCTTGCTGGCGTTGTCCAGCGCTGAGCTTTGGCCTGTCCGTGTCTCACCTGAGTACCTGAGTACCTGAGTACCGTGTGTAGCGCATTTGCGCAGCAGTTAAGCTGAATGAGTGCTTAAGTCGAGCCCGATGCGATGCCGCCGATATAGAATGCCCGCTCACAGGCAACGCAGTGCGCATTCGTAGTCTGCCATCGATATCGACAGCAGCGTGTGGTCTTAGCCGCTTTTCCGTTTGGTTAGTTCCCCAATTGGCGCCTAAGCGGCTTTAGCTCTTTAAGCCGCTTGGCATACTCGGTGCTATTGTGCGTTAAATTGAATTGCGGTTGCGGCTAGTGCTAAAAAGGATATCAACTGTTTATATATACGTTATATGTAATGTATATATGTCTCAGCTGAGTGTAGTTCGTGTCTTGCCGACGTCATCAGATTCGTTTGTTGCTGGCTGCCGTCCAAGGATACAAATCGCACCACCATCTACGTCATTTGGCCAAAATTGATGTCTGCTCGGCTTCGCTGTTGTGGGGCATCCGTTTGGGGCTTCCACACGCACATGCCACATGATCTGTCAGAGACGGCTATATTTAGGCATAGGTTCTCTCGCCTCTTGTGACACTTTGATAGATGGACAGGCACAGGCACAGGCGAGCTGTCTGTCATGTGGGTCCTCGATTGAATGCCGAACTTGGTTTCTATTTCCAGCTATGGCTAAATATAAACGCAAACAGTTTCGCTTACTGTGTTACCCTATTTCACTCAGATTGTGTCAGTGTATAATGCATAATTAATTAATTTAATCCTCTTATTCTCTCTCCCTCTCTCTCCCTTTCATTGCAGCACAATTTTTTGTCGTCTCTTCCACGCGCAGACAACTAGAGAGCCAAGGACTCTAGACTCCGAGTTTGACCACTTTTCTAGTTTTCCAGCTAAAAGTCGTTAATATACATATAAATATTTGCGAAAATGGAAAAATGTTTCACGGCGATAGCAACAACAATTTCAGCAAAATTCTGTGAAACCTAATTGTATATTAACTAATACAATAATTAAAGCTAAAACACAATTAGCAGCGTTGTGTTCCAACTAAATAAAAGAAAACAAAAATCAACTTCCCCAACAACTTCCAGAACGAAAAAGAAAAGTAACAAGAAAGAAAACAAAAGAAAACCCGAAGCGTAACGTGAACAATAAAACATAATTTTAGCTAAAGAAGAAGAAGAAGCGCACATTGCAAATGATTCAACTGCTTCCTAACTAAGCTCAGTGCGAGGAATACTTTAAGGGTAAAACAAAAAGTATATATATATAGATAAATATATATATACAAATAAATACTGAAATATAAAAGAAAAGAACAACAACAACAACTAGAACAACTGCAACACGTAACGGCAACATGTCACACGCCGTCGCCATCAAAACAGAAACGGAAAACTGCATCAGCAGCAACAACATCAACAGCCTCAAACAGTCGCCACAGCCCGCACAGCAACTGCACAACAGCAGCAGCAGCAGCAACAGCAGCAACAGCAGCAACTGCAGCAACAGCAGTAATAACACCAGCACCAGCAGCAACAGCAGCAGCAGCAGCGGCATCAGCAGCAACAGCAGCAGCAACAGCAACAGCAACAACACCAACAACAACAACAACAACAACAGCGATGCTACATTCTCATTGCTGAATGGCACTCACTCGCATCAGCGCAGCAATGGACTCACTGCTGCGGCGCACGCAGCTGTCAGCTATGCCAGCTCCGGCAGCGGAAGTGGTGCGGGCACTGGCGGTGGTGCTGGTAGTGGTGGTGCGGGCGCGGGCGCCGCAGCTGGCCTCAATGCGACCCTGCTTGGCGCTGCGCCCGCCACAGCGCTGCCCAGCAATGGGGGCCTGCAGTCCCCATACGAGCGCTACAGAGTCGATGATACCAGCTATGTGCCCATCGGACAGTTCTATGCTGGACGAAGCGTTTTCATAACGGGCGGCACCGGCTTTATGGGCAAGGTGAGTTACATTTGGAATATATAGAATTGATTAGATTGTGGGATAAGGAGAAAAACACGTTGATAAGAGTTAGCTCAGCTAGATATCGAATCGCTTATCGATGCCAAGCTAATTGATAATAAACCTATATTTAATCCATTATAAAAATTTCGTCATTCACCGAGGAGTCTTCGTTAATGGATTATTTAAATCGTGATCGATACAAGTATGGGATTAGGTGGAAAGATTAACATTAAGATTTAGTTCAACTATAAATCGAAAAGTCGAAGAATCTTTAACTAACAGAATAGTTGGTAATCCATTTTAAAACGATTATCAATCCATTCTTTTAACTAATTGATTATTTGAATAGTAATTATTTGTTGAGGATTTTCATTCGTAAAATAAGGAAACGAGTGTTTGATTTAGACTATGCAATCGTATAATCTATTATTCATTAAATTCTAACTATTCAGCATTGATAAATCTCACATTATCTTCTTACGTTTTTTCTTGAATAATCGGCAACCAATGATCAAGTAATCGTATATCGATAGATTCTCAAAATCTTTATTGTAGTGTTAGGGCGTTCCTTGTTCAAGTTAATCAATCGAATATGTATATCTAGCCTAGCAATCGAGACATTTGTCGCTCCGCCCATGAAATAGTAATTTTACCTATAAAGCGTGTCTAAACGATAACTATTGAGTATTCAAAGGGACGTATCTGAATTTGCAATTACAAATACTTTCAGCAAACATCGATTCTTGAACAATCGAATAGTCAGAAATTGACTATTGAATCATAGTTAGAGTCTCATCAAAAATACACATGAATCTTCCTAACTGATTATTTAGGTCGTGATTGTTCTATTGAGACTTTCCATTCCTCAAATAGTTACAGATTTAAATAGATTTTCTGATTTTAGCCAGTCCATCGAAATGTAGATCTTTTTATCCTTGAAATCCCAACTGACCCATTAAAACTTGTCTGATTTGGCGATGGCACATTATATACTTTGGTAGAATCCACTGAAGATAATCGAAAAATCGATGATATTCGTGTTTTGGCTGATATTCTACCACATTTTTTGCAACTACTCATTAAATATTAACAGGCGTCACAGCGTCGCCTGTGGCCCACGCAACTGCGACTGTGTAGCTAGGCTTCCAGCAGTTTTTATTGCATACTTAAGCGGGCTGCACGCACCATTCATCACGCATACGCCACGTGCGCCGCATGCAATTGTTGTGCGCTGTTTGCATCATGCGGAGTGTTGAACTCTGGCCACGCCTGGCAACGAATTGAGGTTATTCTATTGCACTCTCGAAATACTTAGTTACATGCAAATCAACATCTCAGGCAAACAACTAACTGAATGCGAGTGCGAGAGCCAGTGCGAGTGGGCTGCTTCAAGATGTCGAGTGTCGCATCTGAGCCGGAAAGTCTGGTGTTGACTCATCGCACGAGCATGCATAGACATGCACATTCACTCGCACACATGCCACATAAGCTCTAATTGTTCCTCACACACACACACACACACACACACACACACTCACAGACTTTGACTCCTAACATATCCTGTAGCTGTTGTGCCAATTTTCAGCCATTGTTTTGCATATGTGTGCGTGCCCACTGTATGTTCTTGTATGTATGTGTGTGCGCTTGTGTGTTGCATGCCTCCTGCCTGCGTCATTATGACATGTAATCGCTGGCGCCGGTGCCGCTTAGACTGCCACTCAATTGTACAGTGTGGAAGCGTTGCTCGTATTGTGAGCGCTCAATGCTGTTTCGCATCGATTTTGTAATCTAGTTGCCAGGCACTGTAATTTAAATGCCATAACCTGCTACCTGTACGTCACAGCATGGAGCACGCCCCCAGGCAGCGCTGCTGCTCCAGTTCCTACTCCTGCTCCAGCTCCTGCTCCTGCTCCTGTTCCGTTGTCATTATTATAGCCGCTGTTGTCTCACATTGTTATTTCGAATACAATTTTCACTTTGTTATGGGGGGCGTGTCTGGCCGTGCGCCCCAACAATCCACCAGTCAATGGCCCTCGTGAATGGCTATTGATAACATTCGATTCGGTGTTTAGCCATTCATTCAACGTACCTTGACTGCTCACTTAGCGGCCACCTCAGCTGTTGTCCCAACAGGCCGTAATTATAGTTTACGGCCTAATGAATATGTCTTATTTGCGAAGGCGTCAGCCTGCTCACTCTCGCCCAGCCGAAGTGGATTAATCAACAGCAAGTGCCTCAATAAATCCCCCACAGTGTGATTGATGCATAGCTCTAGCCTAACTAAATATATGCTAGAATATATCAAGTCGTTTTTACCAGGAAATTCTATTTTGGTTGCAGCTGAATTAGCTGACATATTTCTTTATATTTATATTCATTTAATTTATGATTACAATTCATATTAAATTCAATTCGTTTAAATAGCGTTGCTTAGTGCAAATGTCAGTGAGCTTGTTCATTAATTCATCGTTTTAGTCAATTAATTAGTCTATCGATAATGCCACTATTTATCATTCTGATTTTAATAAATCTGTTTTCCATTTTCAGGTGCTCGTGGAGAAACTGTTACGTTCATGTCCGGATATAAGAAATATATATCTGCTGATACGACCGAAGCGCGGCCAAGAGGTCTCGGCGCGCCTCACAGAACTCCTCAATGCACCGGTAATACATATAGTTTATCATAATCAACTTTCAGATCTAACTAGAGCTATCCTTCAATTATTAGCTATTCGAATCATTGCGCCGCGAGAAGCCGAAGGAATTAAGCAAAGTCATACCCATATCCGGCGATATAACGTCGGAGGAGCTGGGCATCTCAGAGAGCGATCAGGTGGGCTTGGATGATGATGATGATGATGATGATGATGATGTAACTTAATACTAACTATATTCTTTTGCTTGGCAGAGCCTACTTTGTCGCAATGTCTCCGTTGTCTTTCACTCAGCTGCCACAGTGAAATTCGACGAGAAGCTCAAGCTGTCAGTCACAATCAATATGCTGGGCACAAAGCGGTTGGTCGAGCTCTGTCATCGCATGATGTCCCTAGACGTGAGTACCTCAAAGATCAACTAAAGTCCACTGCTTATATGGGCGGCTCTTTCAGGCACTCATTCATGTATCCACTGCCTATTGCAATTGCGATAGAACCGATGTATCAGAGGTCATCTATGCACCACCCTATAATCCCGATGATATCATCTCATTAATCAACTGGCTTCCGGAGGATATACTTGATCAGGTATGTCCACAGCTAGAGCTCTATAGCTATTTAATTGATCTAATCCGGTCTTCTTCCTCCAGCTGACACCGCGCCTCATTGGCAAGCGTCCCAATACGTATACATTTACAAAAGCCTTAGCGGAGCATATGTTACTTAAGGAGGCTGGAAACCTGCCCGTTGCCATTGTGAGGCCCTCAATCGGTAAAGATCTTGGCTCTGACCTCTTTCGCTTTCTTATATGTACTGAGTGAATGTCTTGCGCATTTGCAGTGACTGCCAGCCTGAATGAGCCGTTCGCCGGCTGGGTGGATAACTTCAATGGGCCAACGGGTCTAGTCTCGGCGCTGGCCAAGGGCCTCTTCCGCACGATGATGTGCGAAAAGAACTATGTGGCCGATATGGTACCTGTCGATATTGTGATTAATTTAATGATTGCGGCCGCCTGGCGCACAGCGACGCGTAAATCCAATAATTTACTCATCTACAATTGTTGTACCGGCCAGCGTAACCCCATCATATGGTCTGAGTTTGTCAGATATGCCATGTCCAGCGTGCGCAAGCATCCCTTGGGTAGGTCTCACTCACTCCCGCTCCCATTCCCGCTCCCACAAGTGACCTCTATGTTCGATTCCTTTTTGCAGAGGGCTGTCTGTGGTATCCAACTGGTGACCTGCGCATGAATCGTCCAATGAACACGCTGAATTGTATATTAAAACACTTTCTACCAGCTCACATACTGGATGCAGTGGCGCGCATCATGGGCAAGAAGCCATTGTAAGCACCGCCTACTCCCACACACACACTCACACACTCACTCAATACTAATGCAATTGTTATCGTTTCAGTGTTGTCAACGTACAAAACAAAATTGCCAAAGCTGTCGAATGCTTAGAATATTTTGCCACGCGCCAATGGCGCTTCAAGGACGACAATGTGAATGGCCTGCTGCATACGCTCAGTCCCAAGGACCGTGAGATTTTTGTGTTCGATGTGCGCAACATCGACTGGGACAAATACGTGGAGCGCTATGTGCTGGGCTTCAGGGAGTTCTTATTCAAGCAGCGGCCCGAATCGCTGCCCGCCAGCAGAAAGCGTATGGTCAGGTATGTTCACATGGCCAAACCTCCCATTCGAGTTGGAATTGATCTAATTGGATATCTTGTCATCTGCTTTAGGTTGTACTATCTGCATCAGCTGATAAAAGTGGTTGCCGTGCTGCTCACCTGGCGTTTTCTTATGTCTCGCTCGAAGCGCTTGAATGACTTGTGGAGCGCATTTCTGGAAAATGTGCTCAAGATCGCGCGTCTAATACCATTTTTGTAATAATCCGGCTGGCAGAGGCAGCAGCAACAACAACAGCATAAATCTTGTCTGGTGATGTTCTTCTTTGCAATTTCTAAATGCCTACAACATGGCGTACATTTTAGAGGTTTTTAGCAAATAATTATAATCATATTTTTATATATGTTAAACGAGTAAGCAAACCCAACAGTCGGGTTCATTAAGTATGGCATCCGTGAATAAGAAAAGACGAAAACACACAAATGCTGCAGATGCGGTGACCCAGGTGTCTGCCCGCGCCTGTTCACCGGTCGGATGTGCAATTTTTGAGATATAAATATATATACATAATAATATATATATTGAAATGCCTCTCAATGGGTGTCGGTTCTCTCGTTGGCGAGTTAAAGACGTAATTTTTGTAAATTTTGTGCAGTCAACTAAGTAAAGTAATACTATTATAATACGAATCAAATAAAGCGTATATATAATATATACAGAATAAAAATTCCACCTTTGCGAAAAAGAAAAACACAAACAGAGAAATGAAGGAAAACTAAAACAATTTGAGATAAAGCAACAAATACTTGGAAATACGATAAATTCGTAATAAATTTACATATATAGTGAACGTAACTATGTCAAAGATAATGAAGCAATTTTGCAGTAATTAGAAATTCCGAATACTTTTGCAACAAAACACAAATACAAAAGAAAACTATTTAACAAATTTAATAACAACAACAAATACAACAAAAAATTAGAGAGAAAAACAAAAAATTATATGAAATGGCTTGTTATTGCTTTAAATTACATAACGTAACGTAAACTATGCTAATATTAATTATAAATTATATTACTAGTTTTAACATTTTTACAATTAAAATTAAGTTTTCAATTTATATATATGACAAAACAAAACAAAACAAAGAAAAAAGACAAAAAAAATAAAAATAAAAACACAAACGAAAACAGAATTATATACGACAAAAACAAAACCAATTAAAAAAAAAAAAAACAAAACAAAACTCAAGAAATGCAGTTTATAAATATACAAAATTCAATTTATGTATATGTACTATATTACGACAAATATGGCGAAAATTATATAAAAAAGCAAACACACAACAAAATACAAAAAAGAAAACCAATAAATAATTAAACGAAAATATATTTATATAAACATCAAACATAATTTCTTAGCATTTGCAGCCTACAAATTAAGCGTAATCCACAAAAGAAAAAACTGAAGTTAAAATACAAAATTATATATACAAATTATTTATATATATATGCATATGTATATGTATTTCTAGGTATATATATATATATGTATGTATATATGTATAGAGCGAAGTTTTTGACATGAGATTGTATACACAATTAGCGAAACATCATTATTAAATTTATATATATAACAAATTAAACTTGCATAACTGAGGAGGAACACAAAGAGCATATAGTAAGAACATTCCATCCAATTAGTAGCGAAAACAAAAACAGGTGCATCCGATTCTGATCAATTTTTGATACCCGTTCATGCAGTGCAAGAGGTGGAGCATATTTGCTCTATGCAATGCTCGCCTGGCGCATCATCACTGTGGGATGGGCGAATTGGAAAACTGAATTCCATTTTCCGACATGGATAGAAGATTAATCAAGGGTTTTTCTTTAATCAGGCAAATTGTATTGTGCATTCGGTTGCATCCGACTTCCTTTTGTTAGTTCTGTTCTGTGCCGCATTCCCACATCTATCTATCAGAAAGTAGTCCGAGCTAATTCATTTTGCTTTCACATAACTCGTAAGGTTGGGGTCTAACTATATAAAAGACAACAGACATTTCGTGCAATTATTATATATTTATTTTACGTTCTAGATTCTATTCAATTTGATTTTTTAAATAATTAATGAACAAACAAACGAAAACAAAATAAAAACACTTCCAATATTGATAAAGAAAACGAAAAGTTTAGTTTATTTGCCTTAATACCTTTGCAAGTTGCAGTTAACCGAAACGTTTAGAAATCTCGACTTTATTCCTTCTGTTTTTTTGTAATACAGTTATCTAGATTAGAGCCTAGAGAAATATATGAACAATTAAAACGAAAGCTAAAATAAATGATAAACAAATTGTAAAACGCTATTTAATGACTTTAGTTCTTATTGGCATGCAAATAATTAAATTTAGTAATTTTTCATTAGAGCCGAAGACGATAAAAACTGAAGAAAAAACTAAAGAAAAAATTATTTAAAACAAAACGAAACAAATAAAAAACCATTAAGGAAATTGTAAAAAATAAATACAAATTGTTTTCAATGGGCATTTTGGGATAATAAGAAGACTCCATTTTTTTTTGTACACATGAATTCTCATTTATTATTATTTATTATTATTATTTTTTTTTTCACTGCAGATTTCACAATTCATGCGCTTACACGCTATCCATCTTTAAAATTGTCTTTACGTTGGCTTTACCGATTTCGCAAT